CAAACCCTGCCTGGCCCCCAAACCCTGCCTGGCCCCCAAACCCTGCCCAGCCCAAACCCTGCCCAGCCCCACACCCTGCCTGGCCCCCAAACCCTGCCCAACCCCACACCCTGCCTGGCCCCCAAACCCTGCCCAACCCCACACCCTGCCTGGCCCCCAAACCCTGCCCGGCCCCACACCCTACCCAGCCCCCAAACCCTGCCCGGTCCTCAAACCCTGCCCAGTCCCCGGACCCTGCCAGGCCCCACACCCTGCCCCAGAGGAGGAGGAGGAAGACCTCTGGAAGAGCAGAGTTCCATCCTGCCACTTTCACCTCACTCTGGCCTTCCCAGATAAAATCTCTGGGATTTCACCCACACTGAGCAGTCCGGAATTACATCAGCTTTCTCAGGATTTAATCACTTAATTAACCAGTAATTATCAACCAGCTCCCTTTGGAAAGCTGAAGATCCGTTAGTTTAGATAAGAACTATCAGTTTAGATAAGCTTCGGAAAAAGCTTCTGCTGTGGACCTGGATTTGGGATCTGGATTTGATGTGGATTTGTAGCTGATTTGGGATTTGGATTTGTGGGTGGGTTTGTGATCCTATCCTGCCCATAAGAATCATGGAATGGTTTGGGTTGGAAGGGACCTTAAAGCTCATCCAATTCCAACCCCTGCAGTAGGCAGGGAATACATATAAAACAATTATTTTGCATTAAAATAATGCTGTCCTAACCCAGGAATATCACAGATATTCCACACACACCTTCCCTCTCCTTTGTAAGATCTAATTATCACATGATCACACACATGTATGTCTTATCTGAAATAAAATTTGTCACAAACCACTTTTTTTTTCAATCAAAGTGTCTAAAAGGAGCAATGGAAATGAGTTTTTATCTGCTGTCATTTCCTCCTCGTGATGCCAGATGGCAACACATGAACTAACAGCCAAAAACTGCCCACACTAACACTAAAAAAAGAGGAGGTGGACTCATTCCATGTCTCCTTTTACAGCCTGGGTGCCAAAGTAGGAGCACACAAAATAACTGCCAATATTTGGTAACGTCTGTTGCACAGCAGGGGCAGCACAGCACAAAAATATATCTCCCCTTGGGGCACAGAACCCCCCCAAACAAACAAATAAAGGAAATAAACCCAACTTTCACCCCTAAACCCCCTCTCTCCGTCACTTGGCTCCAGCACCAAAGGAATGGAAAGGAGATTTTTAGAGTTCTCAGAAAAATGAGGCAGAGCTGGCAGTGGAATTATGGGGTTTGACTCCTCCTTCCCTTAACAATTTGTCAGCTTTATCTTTTGAACAGAGCACACTCATGTTTTGGTTTCCATCACCTTTAGATTATACAACCCCACCTGTTCAATATGTATGTGTAAAGGTGCTTTTTGCTGTGCTAATGACAGCCAAAAATATGAATGGAAATTCCTGTTTATGTTTAAATCCTACACGTTTAGGTTCTAAACAACACAGAGTGCACTGAGCCTTTTTTTTTTGGTTAGGAGGCTGAATTTCTTTTGGGTTTTTGAAGCAGAGCCTTTACCTTGGGAGCTCTGGCTGAGCCTGGCCGAGGACCGCGTCACGCGGGCGGATCTCCGGGACGTGCCGTCGCTCTCCGAGCTGTCCGTGTGCTCGGGATCCGTGGAAAAATCGGAGTCCTCCGTCCCATCGGAGCTGCTGCCCGCGTTCCTCTGCAACGGCACAGCCCACACGTCAGCAGGGAGCACCTCGGCTTGGATATGGCAGGGAATATTTCACGGGATCGCGGGATGGTTTGGGTTGGAAGGAGCTTAAAGCTCATCCACTCCCACCCCTCTGCCACGGGCAGGGACACCTTCAGCTATCCCAGGCTGCTCCAAGCCCCGTCCGACCCGGCTGGGACACTTCCAGGGGTGGGAAGAGACGTTAGATAGGTAAATTCAACTAAAAATGTACTGGTTTAATAAATACGCAGCATCAGCGCCTTTAATAATAAGAAGCTTCTTGCAAACTGATCCCCAAGGAAAAGTCGTGGGAGCACGGGGTTTTATTAAAGCAAAAGATGGTGTTGGGTCACAGGTTGGACTCGATGATCTTGGAGGTCTTTTCCAACCTGGGATTCCATGATCTATTTTTCCCCCATGGGGAAGGTTCCCACCTCATCCCAGACACCTCAGCTGGAAGGGTTGGGGTGTCCTGGGCAGGGCCAGGAGTTGGGCTGGATCATCCTGGTGGGTCCTTTCCAACCCAGATTACTCCATGTGCTGCATCCAGCTCATCTTGTCCCTCCAGCTGCCCCTTTTTATTATTATTTACCACTATTATTTTACTTTACTTCGGTTTTTATTATCAAACTGCTTTTATATGAACCTAGAAGCTGGATGGTAAAAACTGAGGGGAGGGGGGGAGCGGCAGCGCGGTGCTTAATTTCCACCTGGGTTTAAACCACGACGCGCTGAGGGGACAACCAGAATGTCGTTCGGGGCACGGTGGAATCCCCGGCGGGACTCCTGTGGGGGCACAGCCGTGAGGGGACGGCGATGGCGGGCGCTGTGAGGGGAGCGGGGGGAGAGCGGCCGCCATGAGGGGAGAGGGGAAGGCCTGGCGCCGGTGGCGGGAGCGCGGCCCCCGCGCCGCTTTGTTTTGCACCCAGCGGAGCCCTGCCAGCCTCAGCCAATCGCAGCGCGAGTGGGAGGGGCGAAAGGGAGAACCCGCCAATGGCGGCTCGAAGAAGCGTAAAAGGCGGGGCCAGCCGCGGGTGACTGACGGCAGAGCCCCCCTATCAGCGCGACGCTTGCTCCCACGGCAACATCAACCGGGGGGGCGGAGTTAGATATGGGAGGGGGGACAGGGCACGCGCGGGGAGGTGACCGTTGGGGGCGGATTGACAGCCGCGAAGTCCAATCAGCGGCAAGCCCCGCACTGCAGCCCAACCAATACGCGACCAGCTCTACGGCGGCCTGCCCAATCGGAAGCGTCAAAGGGCGGAACCCGCTGCCAGCGCGGAGGTGGGGGAGCAGTAGCCGTTGGGGGCGATAAGTGACAGGCAAGGCGGCCAATCAGCGCGCGGCGTGCCCGTGCGGGAGCCAATCAGCGAGCGCGGGAGGCGGGCGCAGGGGGCTCAAGGCCGCTATTTTCCCCCCAGTTTTGTGCCCGTGAGAGGCAGCGGAGGGGCTGGGGAAGGGTAGAAAGCAGCGGGCCAAGCTCGTCGGTACCCCCCACCAGCCGCCTCCTCCGCTCCCCGGCCGCGCTCACCTTCCTGCGCTGCATCCTGGGCGGGGGCAGCGAGCTCGCCTGGTCCCCGGCGCCCGCGGCCCGCGAGGCGGCGGTGGCCGCCGCCGTGTTAGCGCTCGCGGGCTCCGTGGTGACAGCCGTGTCTCCCGCCCTGCGGCACGTCTGCTCCGGCGGCGCCAGCCCCGCTCCCGCCGCTTCCAGCTGCCGTTCCCTGCTCGGTCCCTCACGTTTCCGCCGGGACGCGGCCCACACCCCTCGTCACGTGACCGCGAGCCATCTTGCAGCCGGGCAAAGCATCACCGTGACGCCGCCGGCGGTGAAGCCGCGCGCCGCCATCTTTGATCCGGGCCGGGCGCTGTTGGCGCGGGGCTCTGTGGCGGCGGCCATTTTGAGTGAGGGCGCGAAGCCGGCGAGGCGCGGGGCGGGCGGTGTTGCCGGGGGGCGCCATGTTGGGTTCGGGCAGGCGGAGCGGCGGGGCCGGGCCGGGCTGAGGGGCCGCGGGGCGAGGGTCGGAGGAGGGCGGTGAGTGCCGGGGCTGCCGGGGCCGGGCGAGGGCGGGGAAGGCCCTGCGGTGATGGCGGGGAGCGGTTGGGTTCCCGGCCCTGCAGCCGCCTCCCCTCAGGGACGGGCCTGTTCCGGGCCTGGGCGCTGGGGCGGGGCCGCGGCGCGCGGGGGGAGGTGGATTATCGTTAATTGTCGTTAATTGAGCTTTCTGCTCTCAAAGTGTTGGCGCGGGGGAGATTTTTGGTGGGGTTTGCCGGTGTGGTTCTGCCTCGGGTGTCTCTGAGGAGCCGTGTGGCGGCTCTGGCTGGGCCGGGCTGAGGGGCGAGTTCACTTATCAATAATTGTGGAGAATCATGGAATGATTTGGGTTGGGAGGGATCTTAAAGACCCAGTTCCACCCCGGGGACACCTTCCACTGTCCCAGGTTGCTCCAACCTGCCCTTGGACGCTTCCAGGGATGGGGCAGGCACAGCTTCTCTGGGAAATCCATCCCAGCCCTCCCCACCCTCCCAGGGAGGAATTCCTTCCCAATGTCCCATCTAATCCTACCCTCTTTCAGTTTAAACCCATTCCTCTTGTCCCGTCCCTCCATCCCTTGTCCCCAGTCCCTCTCCAGCTCTCCTGGAGCCCCTTTAGGCCCTGGAAGGGGCTCTCAGGTCTCCCTGGATCCTTCTCCATGTGAACCCCCCCAGCTCTCCCAGCCTGGCTCCAGAGCAGAATTGCTCCATCACCTCCTCTGGACTCGTGTTTTAACGTGACAACACTGTGTATCAACCACAATAAATTGCTTTATGTAAAGACTTGGGGAAAAAAAAAAAAAGTATATTTAGTCAAACACATGATTTCTTTCCAGCTGTGGTTATCTTTATGAATTATGAATTTCTCAGGGCTTAATCCCCTAATCCTCGGGAGGGTTTGTCATCCTTAGTCGTGCAAGTGATGCTGCTTTTCTCACTCCAGGTTGTCATTTCTCGTAGGTGTATCCAGCCTCCTGTGAAATGCTGAAGGGCAAACCCGGAGAAGGGATGAAATCCCTGGGCTCTTATCCCAGCAGGGAGGAACTGGGGAGCAGTTGGTGTGGTATGTGAAGCACTGGCTGCAAATCAGCTCTAAAGTCGAGCCCAGGAGAACAATGGGAGTGTGAACAGCTCCAGTCTGGTCATTTCAGGGAACTCATTTGCAAATCTACTGAAAAAAAACCCATAAATGCAGGAATTCTGCCTAATTTCTAACCAGCCTGATCCAATGGAAGGTGCCCCTGGCAGGGGGGTGGAAGGGGATGAGCTTTGAGGTCTTTCCAACCTCCTTGGGAATCGTTGGAGGTGAAACTGCAGGTCTGTCTTGGGAAAGGCACAAAGGGAAGGGGAATTGGAGCAGCTGGAGGTTCTGCCACGGTGCCACCACCACTAGATGTCAGTGGATGAAGGGAATGAAATTTGGGAGCAGTTTCTGCAGGATGCAGAGCTGGTGCAGCTGCTGCTCACCGGGATCCCCCGGGGTTTGAGCTCCTCTTAATGATGTTCTTAAAACAGACTTTTTTAAACACTCAGAATATTTTAAGTAGGATCTTTTTGAGGCTAAACCAGAAAGTTTAGAAGAGTAGGCCCACGAAACATTCCTGTGCTGGAAGGGACCCACAGGGGTCACAAAGTCCAACTCCTGGCCCTGCACAGGATGCCCCAAGTTTGGCAAATTTGATGATGGAGTTTCATCTTAAAATGACACAAGAGTGATTTTTGGTTCTTAAATCCTCTTTTATTTAAATATAGGCAGGTGCCAGATTGCCACTGGTTCATCAGAGATCTTTTGGTCCTGAAGATCTCATGGAATCTGAAACCTTTCCAGGCCTCACTTACTCTGGAGACCTGGCAGGGAGTGAGCTGCCATCACTTCTGTTAGTGGTGATATAAATTAGGAATTGTTAGGAAGCAGAATAAACATTTGTAAAGTCCCTGAGTTTTCTCAGTCACCTTATAAATGATGTTTATAAATTAGAATAATTCCCTGTAACTCTGTGTGTGTTGTTTGCTGTGATCTCTTCCTGCAGGGTGAATTTACTGAAGTGTATTTAAAGCAACTGAGAGAAGCTCTATAGAATGAAAACACATCATAAAAATTACCTGAATTGCTACATTTTAATAAACCTCACTTGTTTTTTAGGTGCCATCTCAGCCCAGCTCTGGGGAGTTGAGTTACCCAAAGGTTGGGATGGAGCTGGAGAGCTGGAAATATCCAGATGTGAAGATCCAGGGTAGCTGCTGCTTTCACTCCCCCATCTTCAGAAGGTGAGTAGAGGTGGGTTCCCTCTGCTTTGGTTCCTGATTGATCATTTTAGTGCCTGGCTTTAGGTGCAGGTGATAGAGCAGCACCAGGGATCTCTTGGGAAGACTGAGGAATTCCTGATCCAGTTCGATGTCTCTGGGTTGGGTTATTCCCACAAGGGCACTTTTCCTGGGGGATAACTGGGAATGGCTGCTGTTTGCTGGCTGGGTTTTTGGGCAGAGCCTGAGCAACCTGATCCGTGTTAGGCTGGGTCTGAGCAGGGCTTGGAGCCTGAATTGTTGTGTCACCAGCCTGAACTTAGTTCCTGGCCTGGTGCAGTGAGTGATCTGCAGACTTGGAGCCAGAGGAAGGAGCTGCAAGGCCCAGGATTTAATGCAGTGGGAATTCTGTGGAGCCTGGACCAGCAACAAGCCTGACCCAAATTTTTGAGTCTTCCCTTCTGCATAAAACTCTCCAGTGGCCTTGGGACACTTCAGAAACCAACCCAAGAGCAGCAAATGTATTTAGTCCACACTCTGTGCTGCTGAAACGGGGCTTTATCTGCAGAATGACTTTGTATTTTCTACTTTTGCATTAAAGAAAACTATTACTGAGCTGCAGCACATCAGGAGGATGAGTTTGGAGGGAGGGGTGGGTTTATTTTATTTTAGAGCTGAGTGGACACTGAGCTGAGCCTAAATGAATTCCTGAGTGGGGAATCCTGGCCCTGCAGGTCTGCAGACACCACCAGCTGTGGGTGGGTGGCTTGGGGTGTTCCATGGACCTGAGCAGAATCCGTGGGCTCTTCCCTGGGGCTCTGGCAGCAGACACAGAGTGGAGCCTGTGTTTCCTGGCATCAGGAGCAAGGTCAGCCCAGCCTGGCCTACATCTTTCCTCTTTCAAATTGTGATGGAAAAAAAGGAAAAGATCCAGGCTGATTTTTGCTGAAAGCAGAGGGTTTTCACTTGGTTCCAGCTGATTATGGCCCCACTTCCTGGTCCCCTCCCTCCCCTGGGTCTCATAGGATAATCTAATTATTAAACAGCTCCAATAAAAGCACATTTTACCCTGGCAGGAATAAAGCCTATTGATAGGCAGGATATTTTTGTGCCACCCTCGCCCTGTCCCTGCCAAAATGGGTTATTTTTTTGGATTTGTGGTCTGCTCCTTTAATACATTCCTTCCAGTCTAGGCAGAGCTCTCCAGCTGCCTGGCACTGGAGTTAATTCCTTGCTTCCCAGTCAATCCAATCTGCTCCTGAAGGAGAACTCTGCTCACGTTGCCCAGCCCGGTGACACAAACCCTCCCAGGTGCAGGAAACGTTTGTCACCCAGGAGGGCCCTGAAGTGGGAAGGGAAGGTGGAACCTGATCCTTTTTGGCACTTTCCATGGGCAGCTCTTCTCCATCCGACTCTGGGCGACCATTCCCAGCCTTGGACACAGGAAGAGCTTGTGAGGTGTTAAAAACAGGTTATATGTGAGTACAGAGAATTTATCTTTGCTTGCTCTGCTAATTAAAGAGTGATCCCTAATCACTGTGGGGGAGGGATAATTTAGGGATGTGCCTGTTTGGATCCAAAGTGAAAATCAGAGGAAGGGAACAGAGAAGCAACTGTCACCCCAGACTGGAGGGTGGAGTGTGTTTGGAGGAGCAGCAAAGGTCAGGGGAATAAGGAGCCTTAGGATAAAGAGTAAGGTGGAAATAGGAGCCAGAGCTGGGCAAAACATTTGGAGAGGAAATCCAAGCAGTTTGGTCCATGGGGTGACTGTTGGGATGGCCTGACACGCTCCAGGATCAAATACCCATCCCACTGGCAGCTTCCTCCTTCCCTTGGGCTCCTGGGAGCCCGGTGAGCTCTGAGCCTTGATGCTGAGGGAGCCAGAGAGCCACCAAAGTGAGGGCACATTGTCACTGTGGGCTGGCTGGAGAATGGGAGACATCACAAAATGGGAGCTGTGGCTTTTACACCACTTAATTGTGGGATGTGATCACTGGCCTTTATACCTCTAATTAGAGGGGGGGGGGAAAAAACCCTGTTTATGCCTCTAATTAGGAAAAAAACATTATCTTAGTTGGAGCAAACCTAATTAAAGCTTGGGGTGAGCACTCTTGGTGCTCTGTGGGACTCGTGTCCTGTTAGAAAGTGCTGCAAAATGGCTGTTCCTGGGCTGCTGTGCCAGCTGGAACTGCTGATTTCCTTTGAAACTCCTGCTTTTCTAATTATTCATGGCAAAGAAAAGCTCCTTCCCATATGAACTCCTGGCTGCCTGAGCTCCAGGGTGAGCCAAGTAGGTGATTTCCTTCAGCCTCTGCGTTTGTTCCTAATTACACTGGGCCAGTTGTTACCCACAGTCAGAGTTACCTGTGCTTCCCAAAGCTGCAATTCCACGTTCTGGAAAAGCTCAGCAGCACTTCTGGGAGGAGAGTTTGTCTTGGGGTTGCCTCAGACCTGTAAGGGGATAATATTTTTTGGTGCCAAATCCAGCCCCTCTGTGAAGTTTTTGTTTCTGTAGCACGTTTTTGGTACTTTCTCCCATTGAATTCAGGGGAGGAGAGGGAGGCAGAGGTGTGGGAGCTGCCAGGCAGGAGCTGGTGCATGAACTGGAGCTTTAATTGCTGCAAACTGGGAAACCAGGGGCTTTGCCTCTCCTGCAAACATAAAGCTTCCTTTAACACCTTCTCCTAAGCAAGATACTCTTCCTTTATTGCATGTTTTACATCTGATTTTTTCAGCCCCTGTTACTCTGGGAAATCCTCCTGAGCCTCTGATGTTGGTTAATTCCTGAATCCACGTCTTTGTGCGTGGGAGGAGAGACAAGTTCATCCCTTAGGATGAGCCAGATGGGATCTCCCAGTGTAAATCCCAATTCCTGGTGAACACTCCAGTCCCAGCTCCTGCCCCTTGGGCTGGGGGTTCCACCAGCACCATCAGCACTAATAAAACTGGGAATCACAAAGAAAACTGGGAGTCAAACTTCTGTGTGTGAGGGAGGGATCCTAAAGAGGATAATCCCTCCACCCCTGCTGTGTGTGTTTTCCAGGAGCAGCTGTGGGGTCCCAGCAGTGGGAGGAGGAGGAGGAGGAGGATGCAGCAGCAGGTACAGAACAGGTTTGATTGGAGCTGCAGCTCCTGCTTTAAATTGCTTTGGGGATAACTGAGTGATTCCTCTCCCTGTGTCCCTTCCATGCCCTGTTCCAGGGCTGGCAGTGGACAGGGGTGATTGCTTTGAAGTGCTCTCCTGCTTTCTGGATGATTCACACTGGTAGGAGAGGCTTCCTGCCTTGCCATGACTTAGGGAAAAGCTCCATTTCATAATGTCTCCTTACTCTTAGCAGGGCTTGTGTCTGTTCCCAAAACTCCCACTGTTTTCACTGCAGGCATGACCAGACTGTGAAATAGCTTGGCTGGGCTGCTGAATAATCTCTGAGGCTCTTTTAATAAACTGCAGTTTTATTTATCTTGCTGCTCTTTAGAGCTTTTCATCTCCAAACATTGGAGTGCAGAAACTGTCCAGCAGTGAAACTCAGCCGTGGCTCTTGGGGATAGAGTGGGAGGCAGACAGGCAGGCATTTTTTTACTCCACAGTTTGGAGTGAGAGGAATTTTGTTCAAGGACAATGAGGGAAAGCTTAGCTTGTGTGCTGAGTGACCCTTTGATCTTCCACGTTCATGCTCAGCTGATCAGGACTTTAAATCTAAGCTCTGTCTCCCTCCTCCCCACAGCAAACAGCCAGAAATGTAATCTCCCCTGGGACTGGCCCAGGAGGGCTGGGCTGGGCTGCAGGGGCAGCTGCTGGGCCCCACACGGGCCCTGTGCCCCTGTCCCCTCCTGCAGGGACACCCCGGGAGCTCAGGGCTGGGTGGCACTGGGAGCTCGGGGCTGGGTGGCACTGGGAGCTCAGGGGTGGGTGGCACTGGGAGCTCAGGGGTGGGTGGCACTGGGAGCTCAGAGGTGGGTGGCACTGGGAGCTCGGGGGTGGGTGGCACTGGGAGCTCAGGGCTGGGTGGCACTCAGGGGTGTCTCAGGGGGACAAGGCCGGTCTGTCCCACAGAGTGTGTGACACTCATGGCTGCAAACCCTGAGGTGTCAAACTGAAGGTAGGTTTAGGTTGGATTCTGGGAGGGTGGGCAGGGGCTGGAATGGATTTCCCAGGGAAGCTGTGGCTGCCCCTGGATCCCTGGCAGTGCCCAAGGCCAGGTTGGATGGGGCTTGGAGCAGCCTGGGCTGGTGGAAGGTGTCCCTGCCCGTGGCAGGGGGTGGCACTGGATGAGCTTTAAGGTCCTTCCAACCCCTGATCCTGTAATTCTGAAGTGTTTGTAAACGTGGTGAAGTGACTTTGGCTTCCTGAGGCTCTGAAAAGTGGGAACAGTTCCTGGTGCTGGGCAAGCAGAGGAGGCTCCAGAATTGTTGCCCAGCACCTGGAAAGGAGCAGGCAGAGGATGATAAGAGGTTGGATCCTTGACCTGCAGCCCTTGAGCACTTGTAAAAGGTTGTGTTACTGCAGCACTTCATTAGGATCCTTAATTCCAGGGCTGGAGTGCAGCCTGTGGAACGTGGGACCCGAATTCCCTCACACCCTGGGGTGTGTGTCTGTCAGGGCAGGACAGGGAAAGGCCTCTTCTGCTGCAGATAAATTGGGGGGCTGATAACGTGCAGCTCAGCTGAGCCCCTTTGATAGGCACCAGCTGGGGCCTCCAAATTAACCCAAAATGTGGGGGGTTAAACCTTTGGAGAAAGCAAAACCTGGCCTGGAGTCAGAGTGGGCCTTTATTTAATTTGCTCTCCCTTATCTGCAGGGTGAGCTGTGGTGGGAACAGAGGCCCAGCTGTGTGACCTTCCTTGTGCTGGAACAAAACAGCCCCAGAGCAGGGAATATTTTTAATTTCTCCCAGCTGTGGGTATTGGGTTCTAATCACTGTGCCCTAAAAAAAGCCACTGTTCTCAGAGAAACTGAAAGTGAATTTGAATGTTGAGGTTGGGAGGCCCTAAAAAAGCTGAGCCACCACTTCATCAGTGAGACAATAATATGGCCAAAACTTCTCTTTTTGGCACTGGTGGCTATTTCTCATGGCAGTTTTATGTTCTTTTGAACACCTGTGCTTGGCAGTTCCCTCTCCATTTTTTTTCCCTTATATTTAATAACTTTTTACTTTGCTAAGAGTTCTTGTGGACCTTGGGAAGGGAATATTTTTGGGAAGGGTGTCTTTCCTTGAAGAAGTGTCTGTACACAGAGGAGCAGCACGACCAGGGATGGATTTACCTCTGAGATAGGGAGGAGAACTGTTAAAACAGACACTTGAGGGCCCTTTTTTGGGTTTAAAACCTCATTTTAAGCTGTAAGGTTGAGTGAATAGGGAAATATTGAAGTGTTTTTTTGGGTAACTCTCAGAAATGCCCCCTCAGTGCTGCTGTTCTGGAATGTTCCCTGCCCACCCTTAGGGCACCCTGGGAACAGACCATTGTGCTCTGACCTTATCAGGGATCTCCTGCCCCTATCAGGGATCTGCAGGGCTCCTTCCTGCAAGAGATAGGGCAGTTTGGGGGGTTGGTGGGTTTGGGGGATGCTCAGTTTGGGGGGGCTGACCATCTTGGAGGGTGGATGCTCAGTTTGGGGGTTGATCAGTTTGGGGTGGGGAGATGATCAGTTTGATGGGTGGAAGATCAGTTTGGTGAATCAGTTTTGGGGGTGGATGATCAGTTTGGGGGGTGGATGATCATTCTGGGGGGTGGATGCTCATTTTGGGGGGGATGCTCCCTTTGGTCCATCCTGTTCCTCCCTCCTCTCCAGCCCCAGATCTGCAGTTTCTGCCCCATCTTTGCTCCCACCAGTAATGGCAACTGGATTCCCCAATGTCCCTGCCTGGATCCCCTGGTGTGTCCCTGCCTGGATCCCCCAATGTCCCTGCCTGGATCCCCCAATGTCCCTGCCTGGATCCCCCAATGTCCCTGCCTGGATCCCCCAATGTCCCTGCCTGCATTCCCCAATGTCCCTGCCTGGATCCCCCAATGTCCCTGCCTGGATCCCCCAATGTCCCTGCCTGGATCCCCGGTGTGTCCCTGCCTGGATCCCCCAATGTCCCTGCCTGGATCCCCGGTGTGTCCCTGCCTGGATCCCCCAATGTCCCTGCCTGGATCCCCGGTGTGTCCCTGCCTGGATCCCCGGTGTTCCCGATCCCAGCAGCCCCGCTGTGCCCGGGCAGTGCTGCTGTGCCCAATCCCCACGGGGACACCACCCGTGCCCCAGGCTGGCACAGGGCCAGGCTGCTGCCCCCTCCTGCCCTCCCCTGTCCTTATCTCCCTGTGCCACAGCTCCCCCCGTCCTGGGCAGGCACAGCACCCCCACCCTTCCCTTGGCCTGTCCCTTTTTATATACTATGTATCTATATATTATGTATATTTATATATAATATATTACATATTATATATATATATATTTTTACATATCTATGTTATCTCTTCCTTCAGCCTGGGAGGGGCTGCAGGGGGATATCTGGGGTTTCAGGTGGTTCAGGGGGGTGGGTGCCCCAAACTGGGAGTTCTCTCAGCAGTAGAACTTTGGGGGAGAGTTTTCCACAGCAGGTTTTTCTGGTTTCAAGGCAAATAACAACTTGTTGTGCCCCGTGCTCAGAGCAGGGCTTGGGGCAGGGGAAAAAACCCTAAAAGATGGAGAAAGGGAAAAAAATCCTAAAGAGGTGGTGAGAGGGGAAAATCCCTGAAAAGACGGTAAAAGGGAGAAACCCTTAAAAAGATGGTAAAAGAGAAAAATTCCTAAACACTGGTAGAAGGGAAAAATCCATAAAAAGTTGGTGAAAGGAAAAAAAATCCCTAGAAAGATGGTAAAGGGGGAAAATTATTAAAAACTGGGAAAAGGGGAAAATCCGGGAAAACTGGTCAACAGCTCCTGAGCCTCTCAGCCGTGGGGCTGGGATGGAGCCGGGGCCGTGGAGCCGGGTGCTGGCGGCCCGCACGGTAATTTTGGACTGATTTTAGGCTTTTTTGCCTCATTTTGCGGCTCTCGTTCATCGCCGCTTCCCCGGGGATGGGAAAGCCCAGGACGGCCGTGCCCGGTGCTTCCAGGGATGGGGTGGGAGGGGGACGAGGCGGGATCAGGATCGGGATGAGGATCGGGATGAGGATCGGGATCGGGATCGGGATCGGGATCGGGATCGGGATCGGTTCTCACCCCCCCAAAGGTGAAAGAGGAACCGGCCCCGCCCACGTGCCCCGTCACCGCGTGGGCTCTGCCCTGCACTGATTGGCTGAGGTACTGCTGTGGGCGGGGCAAAGGGCGTGGCTTCACGCACTCCTCTCTCTCTGATTGGCTCTGCCGCCAGCAGTGACGCCTCCTGGCGGTCCTGATTGGCCGCCGCCGCGGCGCGTGCGAGGCGGAGCGCACCGAGGGCTCTCATTGGCTTCCCTTCGGTGTGGGCGGGGCGCCGGCTGCTGGGCAGCCAATGAGCACCGCGCTGCTCCTTCAGGCCCCGCCCCCGAGCTCTCATAAGGGGCGCGGGTGGCGCGGGGGGCTCAGAGCGGCGGGCGGGCGGGACATGGCGGGGGTGGGTGCTGCGCCCTCCGGCCGCGCCGGCCCCGGGGGGCTGCACCCGCTCCGCGCCACCGTCCCCTTCCAGCTGCAACAGCGCCGCGGAGACGGGGCCCGCGCAGGTAACGGGGGGACCCGCGTGGCCCCGGCACCCGCAGAGCACCGGGGTTGTGGATCGGCCCCCGGTTTGGGGGCTCCGAAACGGCCCCGGCCCGGGGGGTCCCGGGGCTGTGCGGGCAGGGCCGCGCTCAGCGATCCGTGTGCCCCCGAGGCTTCTCCGCAGTGATGGTGCGGGGGTGGAAGCGAAAGGGGAGTGGGAGAAGCGAGGGCAGAGCAGCGGGGACAGGGACAGAGCGAGGGGACACTCGGCCCCCCTGGACGGGCCCGGGCTCTGAGCTGGGACCCCCGAGGGCGGGCACCGAGCCCCTGCTGCTTCTCCCCTGACAAGGAGTTGCCCGTTTCGAGGTGGTTTCACCAAAAAAGCCCCCAAAACCCGAGCCCTGTGTTTTGTGCAGCTGATCCGTCTCGATAAAAAGCAGGAATTCGGTTTGCCCCGGTGGTAATTCGTCCCTAATTGCACTTCTGAGCTCTCCCTGACCGCTTCAGGAATGCTTAAATATAACTTTTTAGCGGCCTAATAATAGTCTTTGGCTTTTCTCTGTATGTGTGTGTGTGTTACTTTTGGCAGTTCCCGGGGCTGCTTTTGGATGTGGGGTTGCTGCTTGGCTGCTCGTTATCTCACGGAGTATTAAAATAGCAGTGAAACGCTTTTGGGGTTAAACGTGAGATCAGAGCTGTGGGACAGGGGGAGAGATTTCTCCAGCGGAATTCGGTGGTGTCTGCCCGGTGCTGGTCCCTCGCTCGGTGCAGGGGGTGTTTAATCTGCTCTGCTGGGAATTCCCCAGGGAGAATGAATG